CTGGGAAGAGTCAAACTGCAGCTGCTGTACAAGGCCAGCATCCACGGTTTCACCGGTGCAGCCTTCCACCAGAGATGTGACACCCGCTCTCCCACTGTGTCTGTGGGCTATAACGCCTCCGGCTATGTGTTTGGAGGCTACACCAAACAACCGTTTAGTCAGTCTGGACAGTACGTTCATGACGACCAGGCCTTTCTGTTCACCCTCAGTGGAAAAAAGCTCCTCAGATATCCAGTCACTGGTCCTGCAAATGCAGTGACAATGATCAGTAACAACGGTCCCCACTTTGGAGAAGCATTGATTCTTGTCAATCAAAGCAAACCAGTAGTACATAGTAATCCAGGAAATTACTACAACTTCACAGCTGCAGAAATGCATGGCAATGATCTCAACCTGACTGAGTGTGAAGTCTACCAGGTGGAGGGTAAGTTCACTATAAACAACCGTATGTTGATGTGTGTTGTTGCAGATCAGTGTTCTTCTGCATTTCATGTGTCATGATCACCACATCCTTAGAAACTACAGTCTGCTGATATCTGATTCCCTCAAGTTCATATTATCTGCTGTTCAAATGTGTAAAAACTAACAAGTTAACAAACAATTATCAATAGTGTAACAAAGGTACTTTGTAAGGAGCAGGGCTGGATGTTACTATTCATTTTTATTTTTAGAAAAAATCATCTTTTTTTGCCAAATATATTTTGATTTATTTATAAATTTAGGGATGTTTACATAGAATTTCAACGTTCCCATCTTAATAAATATTGTCCTTGGACTCTTCCTTAACATAAAATAAAACAATCCTTAATCTCTCCTCACTTTCACATTAGAATTTAGGCAAAACATACATGTAAGTATGATTTTTTTTAAAATTATTATTATTCAAATAGTAAATATTATTAAATGTCTCATCCAGTAAAAACCAGGCTTTATGTTTTTGTTTTTTTCTAATATAACTTTCAGATGTGAAGTCAAAGCTGTTAAGATATAAAAATGTCTACTTCTGTCATTCCACTGGGGATTTTAGTATCGTTGTAGTGACATTACTGTCAGTAAAATGAATCCACTGGACCTTCGGTTCTGTAGACGCTGGGAGTTCATGGAGACGTTTGTGTTCACTCTTGCAGCCAGCAGCAGAACATCTGGAGTGGTTTGCATGTGGCTGCCACATTTTAAGAGTTAGCAGAGGCAGCTTAGCAGATAAAGAAACCTGTCGGACTGTGAGGCAGCTGAATGGTTCACCTGAAAGCAGCTGCCAGTGAGAGGAAACGATTATACAACGTTTGAGCTTGAAGGCTGTTGGTTCTTCAGTTGGAACTGGTTTGTAAAGTAGAGACTCCGTCTAGTTGTGAGGGGACTTGAGGAATGGCAGAAGCAAACATCTTCCTATCCTAATGGCTCATAAAATAACACAATAATAATAATAATAATAATAATAACACCAGTGTTACCGTATTCTTGCAATGTGCCAAGTGAAACCATCACAAAGGCAAGAAGAGGTGTATAGGTGTGTATAGGGCTGAGAAACGGAATAGTTTCACATCACAATTTGAAACGCCATTAGCAGACTGCAAAGGCTGCAATTATAGATAGACATTATGCAGCATGGCTGACCCAGGGTTTAAAGTGTTGTGTCCGTGGTTTTACAAATTCCTGCCATCGTCCTTGAGTGAAAGTCATGCTCTCGATGATGTCTCAGGAAGCCTGACGTGAGAACTTGCATTGTTAAACAAATCACAATATCTATATAAAAAAAAAAAATCACAGATATTTTCCACAAGTCGTTCATCCCTAGGTGGGATGCTGATATCTTTATTAATGTAGGAAGACTCCTGTATAACTTGTTTTTGCTCATCAACAGAAACCACTGAACTTGAGAGGCCATGGAGGACAATAACCTGGGAATTACTGTAAGATGGACGGTCACTGTACATCACATATTGTGCTTTAAGCAGTTTGACACCAACTATTAATCTGAAGAAATTTTGTAAGAATGTGCTAAACATTTGAATATATTCTTATAATGGACGTGTTCCTTGTGCCATGACATGCACGCTGCTCTACAGGCTCACTGTTCAACAACATTTTAGATTAGGATGGTGTCCATGTGAATTATTAAGCAATCAAATGGCTTAACAGCAAACAGGACTGATGTCACAGAGGTCAGCTGCTTGTGCACAAAGAAGTTCAGTCAAAGCAACTTACAACCTCTTCATGAGACTGAAAACCTGTTCATCTCCTTGTCTGAGCAGGAAGAGGAAGGAGCTGATGGAGGGCATTAAAACCTTCAAGCCCACAGTCGGCTCTGTGTCTCAGGCTCGAGTTTTGCTCGTTGGACCAGTTGGAGCTGGAAAGTCCAGCTTCTTTAACTCCATCAACTCTGTGTTCAGAGGCCATGTCACCAGCCAGGCCATGTCTGGCTGCTCCAGCACCAGCCTCACCACACAGGTCAGTGTCTGCTCCCACTGATTTCCATCTGCTCAGACTGATGTCAACCTGACAGCTCTGCCCGGTCCACTTCTTGTCCCTGACAGTTTCGCACCTACTCTGTGAAAGCTGGACGAGAAGGCAAACCTCTGCCAATCATCTTGTGTGATACCATGGGATTGGAGGACAGCAAAGGGGCGGGGCTTGATATAGATGACATCAGCAGCATCCTGAAAGGTCATCTGCCAGACTGTTATCAGGTACAGCAGTTTAATGCACTCAGCAGGATACTGAATGTATGAAACACTGACTAGGCTGTAGTTAACTCAAACATGTGACTCAGTTCAACCCCTCAGCTCCTCTGCATTCAGACACTCACGGTTATCGCAAGAGTCCAGGGCTCAAGGACGTGATCCACTGTGTGGCCTACGTCATTGATGCCTGCAAGATCTCCATCATGCCCTCAAAGCTGGAGGAGAAGCTGGACGCCATCCGCAAAAAGGTCAACCTAATGGGTCAGTGGAACTGAGTCCTGAGGGAGCATTTCTCCCCACACACACACTTTCAGCTGTTGAACACTCGCTCCCTTGTCAAGCTGACTTCGAGGCTGAGGCCAGTGGCTGAAAAGTCTTTGACAATATGAGTTAGGAGAGAGTCGGGAAAGATGAGCTTTTCCTTGAGGTGTCTTTACAGTGGCGGTATGACAGTAATGTCTAAAAATAAAACACGAACATGTACTTTAGGATGTGGGGCATCCCTGGGAATTATTGGTTTGGATCTAAAATAAATTGTTTTTTAAATATGCCTCAAGTACAAATTCTGAGGACTTCCTCTAATGAGCCAGAGCCACTGTGGGTGTCGAAAATGAGCCGTCTAAGGAGTGGACTGCGTGAATGTTTTTCTGCCTGCGGACGCTTTTATCTTGTGCACACGTCCGGTTTGTGCACTTTAAACAACTAATTCAACAACATACGACTGCTGCAGACACCTACTGCTGCTCATACATTTCATAAGGCTCCCCTTCATCCATTAACTCACAACAGGAATATATTTTTAGATGGTCATTAGTAATGGAGAGAAAACCCAGCAATGGACAAGATTAAATTCATGACAAAATTATTCTGTTTTTCTGCTCTTGTGTCTCCAGGGGTTCCTCAGCTGGTCCTGCTCACTAAAGTAGACGAAGCCTGTCCTTTAGTGAAAGAGGATGTGAGAAACGTTTATAAGAGCGGCTACATTAAGGAACTGGTGAGAACTTTAGGGTTTTATAAAATAAAACAAATCTGGCAGACTTGTTTTTAATTAGAAAAAGCTACACACCACCCTCATCTGACTCCTTCTGTACTGTGTGTTCTGTGATCCAGATGCAGGAGGTCAGCGCTCGGCTCGGCGTGCCGTTGTCCTGTGTTGTTCCGGTGAAGAACTACAGTGAGGAGTTGGAGCTGGACATGAACACCGACATCCTGCTGCTCAGCGCCATCGTTCAGATGCTTCGCTTCGTCGATAATTACTTTGACGAGCTCAGTGACCGACTGAGCAAAGTTGCCACCAAAGAAGTGGAATTTCGTTAAGGGACTGTCACAATGTGCAGCTCATGAGTACATCGAGTTAAGATCCACTGTGGTAAACGCAACAACCATCAGAGTATTATTGCATTGTTCCAAGATGGCTACCCCATCCCTAAGCACACCGAATGGCTGAACCTAGCTTGTGTTTTCATGCTCCAGAGGCTTTATCAATAGTTAATAGCTGCTATTTAATCAGGTCTAACACCTCATAGTGTCTGTGGGGTTCAGAGCCTTCATCGCTTAGTGGGAACACACCTCAAACTCTCTGAGTCGGGAGTGTTGACTACAGGGTTGGGCCTTCATCATAGGAAAGGGCTCCTAGGAATGCTGGGAGATGTAGTCCCTCCAGTATACTGTAAGGCTGCAGGTCACCTCCAGTTACTGGTTTCCAAAACTCTGAGGTGGAAATGTTGACGGTGTTTCTTTGTGCCAAAATATAACCAGTTTTTTGGTGGGTGATATTGTTTGGGATGTTAATCCTGTATTTAAAAAAAAAAAAATTTGCAAAACATGTCTAAAACCTTAATTTGTTATCTATTTAGAGCAAATATACTGATTGTGTTTTAGGCTTTGCTAAGTATTTGACTGATTCAGTGGGACCTTGGAGTGCAAACAAGCTTGAAAATAGTTAATCTGATATTTAGAGTACTGCTTACTAGTATTGCAGAATACGATGTACTGCATGATGGCCACATCTTTGTATGAAGTCTTGCAGTTCTGCAGTATTTGATGTGTCTCTTGGCTAACAAAGTAATGTTTGTTGTCATGTTGCATGTTAGGTACATTTAGCATGTGCTTTGATTTTTGTCTGATAATAAAAACTGCCTGTTACGGCCCGTGGTGTTTGTGCCGTTGTGTCGTGTGGACTTGTGACCATGGTGTGGAGATGACCTGTGTAGGCCCAGCTGTGGCTGGTTGGCAGCTCGCTCCAGGACGCCAGCTGCCAGTCATCTCAGCTAATTAACCTGGAGCTGAAGACCTGCACTCCGGCCCTTGTTGTCCCTGCTCCGGTCACCGCCACTCCTCCTCCACCCCAACAGTCACCACACCTGGCTATAAAAGCCCCACAACCTTTCAGTCAGGGCTGGCTGGGATTTACAGTGAACAGTCAGTCCTGGTGCCTCTCGTTCTGTTGGCAGCTGCTGGAGACTATGACTCCCGTTAGCAGCTGCACAACTTTGTGAGGATGTTACTCGTGTCCTGCGTCTTCTTATTCTGTGTTTTGAGTTTGTTCTAGTTTCTTGTTATAATTATGTTTCGAGCTATTATGTATTCTGAATCTGCATATCTCCACTGAACCTATGATCCTGTTTTGCTTTTTTCTACTGAGCACAATGCACGTGCTTGAAGACAACATGGCCGGTGAGAACTGGTTCACATGCTGGGAGACAGCGGACACTCCCCTGTTCTATCAGCTGCTTTAGATACACACCTTCTGGACAACACACACACTTTGTATTCGATCCAAGCAGTGTTTACATTTCACTGAACTTCCACGTGAACAGTGGTTAGCCTGTTCACATCACAGTAACTGGCCGATTAACCTGCGTACAAGTCCAACCTCTGACTGTGCTGTACGGGGCAGTCCCAGCCCAGGAAGATATCTGTAACCTGAACCCAAAAAACTCAGCTCAGCTGGACATGAGTTTCCTCTCTGTCCCTCTGAATCCAGCGCTGCCTCACTTTACCTGTGACCTGAATAAATTCTACATGTGAGAACTGAAGATTTCTCCGGTTTGTTCTTGAGCTAAAGAATCAGGTCTAACATAGTTGTATGTGTGGATGGTGCTGTTTGATTTTGGCTGAAGAGTTTAGTTTTGTGTTGGTTTTCTAGCTTTGCAACTCTGCTAGCCTTCGTTTGGTTCTTTGACTTGTAGCAGCATCCACCCTCTTCTCTTGTACTGTCACAGTCATGATCATTTACGTTACTGAGCAATAAATGGCTTTACCTGAACCGCTTCCATCTGGGTTCTTGTTACATCCAGCTGACCCTCGAGGCTGGGTCGTAACACTGCCGCTGGCCCGACAAACGTCTTTAAACTCTTGAAAGAATTATTAAAAAGAGAAGCAACAAATCTGAATTTCTGATTAGAACCTTCATTACAAACTGAACTTGAGTCGTTCTAATCAGTTTTCTGTTTTCAATAAAAGCTCAAAGTGCACGAATGAACAGAAAAGTTGAGATTTATTAATGCAGCTCAGACAGTTACTGTACAGACCAGCTGAGGAGCGGTGGCTCCCTGTGCAACAGGACTGTGGTGTCACAACAATCCGTAAACTACACAACACACATCCCGCCTGTAATCCCACTCACCGCCTACTGTTGCATCGCTGGGATTAGCTGTGAATTAGAGTGGGTTATAAATTGGCAGCAGTCCTCTCAGCGACAATAATCATCAGTTAAAAAATAACTTCTAAACAAACACGTCTTGAAATAGTGTTTAAAATATCAATGCTGTGTTAGTGCACATAACAGACAGGGAGCTCTCTGCAACTTGGCCACAGTCTACATTGAACTGGTTGTACGACTTTGCAACTTTCACAGACTGACCAACAAAAAATGATGCACAACAGTGAAGAAAGGAATGTCCTGGGACCACGAAACACACCTGGAATTCATTGATATTCAGCAAGTCAGCTGCTGTTTTCCCCCTTTCCGTTACAACCCGAAGCATCTCCTTCAGCTGAGTCGCTCCCACCAGCGAGGACATGTGTGAAACGCGCAGCTGGAAATGACGTTCAGCAGACGTCGCTACAGCTGACACGGTTGTTGGTGAGGTTGGTGCAGACTGTTGGGGGCACAGAGGTCGGACCACTGGACAGGAGCAGAGATGAGGCTTTTATGGCACAGCTGACGCTCTCCAACAGTTCAGTCTTTCCCCTCAACAGCCGACTGCTTCAGTCATCAACAGAAAAGGCAGCCACGTGAACTTTGACCACTTGAGTAACAGTGCAGAACACACGTGCACAATCACACATTCAAACGCGCACACACACACACATTACGTATGGGTTTGGTCCGAGTCCAAAGGCTGACTTGGTGTCAACCGGCGCAGAGAAGGACAGTTGGCATCTACGCTGCAGCGTTCCACCTACATGCGCTCACACTATGGCTATTTGATGTTTACCAGCAAAAAAAAACAAACATTCTTGTATCTGTTATATTAGTAACCAGCAACGTAATAAGTACAAAGTGTTAGTAGTTTGTAGTTTTAAAATCAAAGCTTGTCCTTGTTCAGCTAATTTGAAAGTGGCACCATCTGCTGTTCACCGTAGTAACACCTCGACCTGCTGAGGACAAAGCAGCATCGAGTAACTAGAAACCAGACGATAGTTTGGCTTTACCTGCACATCCCTGTTCAGAGGAGACAGTGGAGTTTATCACTGAGCATCAGAGCCAACAGCCCACACTGGACACTGTGTCCACGTGTTCCTCACTGTGGAAAGCGTCAATAAGAAAGTGGGCGTTGGCACAGATGGTCTTAGAGCTGTTTGGCAATTATGGAGCAACATTATTGTAACGTATTAATCTGTTGAGATGTTTATTCAGGGATGAATTGTGCTGCGTAACAGATGCTTCAGGGCCTAAACTCTATTATTAGGTGGAATTTAATGTGCTAACTGAATCTTCACGACGGGCATGAAGGGGCGAAGACTTCTGTGGGTGTCGTTTGCACGGTTCGTTATGTGGCTCTGCAGAAGCCATCGTTTCATTCTGTACAAGAATGAGCCACGTAAAATGGTTCATTTCAAACAGAAACACAGGCTCTAGTATCTCCAACTAAAATGTTTGTGTGTTTAAATGAGATCGGCAGGGACGGAGCCGACATTTTAAACCTACGAATGTGCAATCAAGGCCGATGTGCAGCTTTTAAAACAACTTATGACTCTGATATTATTTGTAACTGTGAACCAAAATGAATCACTGAAAGTATTAAAAGGACTGAATGGAGAACAGAGAAGGGACAAAGAGCCGATGACTGTTGCAGCTGACCAAACCTGTCGCAAAACATCAGGACCTGCGGCTAAATAAAATAAAAAATAAAACCAATACTTACAAAGATTGAAGAGGATTTAAAAAAAAAAAAAAAGGTGAATCAGTTTGACCCACTACTGTAAAAACACTACGAACACTGAACAAAATGTCTCTACAGGTTGTCACTTTGGCTCTTCAGCGTTTGGACCCGACCAGATCGATCACACACTGTGCTTACGTCAACATCTACAGAGATGACATTCAATTTCCAAACAGTAGAAAAGAAATTTAGGAACTTTTCCTTGTGTTTTGTTTTTTTCCTCTTAAAGAACTGTACAAGATTATTTTTAAAAAATCAATAATTAGTTATACATATTTATATGACAACATTGTTTACGTTATATTACTATAAAGAAGTACAACTTTTGTGTTGTTCTCACTTAAGACTGGCTGCAGTATTCCTTTTTCAGACCACTGCAGCGCTGAAGACGGTGAATGCAGATCGTTATAGGTTTAAACAGTAAACGTATAATACCGTTGTGATGCAGCGGTGCCACCATCATTACAGATAGTGCGCTGTTTGTGGGTCTGAATGCAGGTTTAATTTTTGGATAAGACGACTGGATCTCTGCAGTAGCAATGTCAGGACACAGGGTGGAGCTCATTGACCTGCAGGACAGATTCTGTTCTGTTGGCTGAGTCAGCAGTGACCAGTGAACTTTACGCTAGCGTCGCTGATGACTCACCCTCACCCGTCTCATCACCTGTGAACCACAGAAGGTCAACAGACACTTTGTAGTTCGCTCAGAGACAAGCGGCTGCTCCAGTCCTCCACCTCGTTCGTCCCTCATCTTTTCAGCTCTCTGCAGTCCAGGAAGCCACCTGCTGGAAAAGGAATACTGCATTTCTCCGCTGCTTGTTTCTTCAACTTGTGTTGCTCAGCTCTAGTGTGCATCCTGCGGGGGGGAGAGAGGGGCAGGGAGGGTCACCTAGGCAGGCCCTTCCTTTGGAGAGGACGGGGTCTGCGATGAGGAGCTGGACGAAGAGGAGGCAGAGCTCTTCAGAGACCCCAGAGTCTTGCTGAACCAAGAGTTCTTGGCGGCTTGGATCTCGTTCATCAGGACTCCACGCTGATGCTCGAGCTCCTGCAGAGCAACAGAAGGAGAAGGTCTCAGTCAGCAGACATGGAGGAGAAAAGCACTTTGGGTCAAAGCTGGACACGAGACCTTTTTTCTTGTAAGCTAATCTGACACAGTTACAGAAGCTGATCTTGTGTATTCTAAAACACTAGTAATATTATAATCTGACTCTTCTCAGAGGCTGTATTCTAATAAATGTCACAGGACTGCCAACATTTTTCAGACACAGTGAGTTCAGGTGCTCTTCTTTGCACTTTAATGGTTTCAGACAGACACAGAAGAGACAAACACTAGAAAGGAAATCGTATCAGTTTGCTGTTCAGGGGTGTTTGTGCCCATGTGCTCTGGGCTTCCACCACCTGGCTGTCAGGCTGTCACTGCATCGCCGTGGTCTTAAACGCAAACTGGCCTGTTTCTTTTGTTTATTCTTTTTAAGATATTCGGCTGCAGCTGTACGTTATATTTATTTCAAAGTCGGCTACTTTTTATTTCCACAAATACGAAAACAGACCTGCATGTTTAATTCAGTTCTGCTGCTGTATGTTATATTGATTTTGAAGTTATTTTATTTATTTCCACAGATACAGGGGGGACTGAAGGCCTGTTCTGTGTTCAGCTGACCTCAATGCACAAGCCAGCGTATCGTTTTCTCCTCTTCATGACAGTTTGATTCTGCTATAACAGGTAAAATAGCAATAAAACACTAAGAATTATCCTTAATTTCATAAATGCAGCACACTGTATATATAGTAGAACTATATATAAAACTTTATATGCTGTCATATCAAATAGCTTTTGGTAGAAAATGGGGCAAAACGGCTCTTTGACTACTAAAGGCTGCTGACCCCTGTTCTAGGTATTCCTTATAATAACGTAGTACCTGCACCAGTAATGACATTTGTCCATCCCTCAGCTCTTCTTTGTGTTTAGTGCTAGTTAGAGAACGCTAGCATGCTAACAAGCTGACAGTAAACACGCTACTATATGATGAAGATGTTTCATGTATCTACTCAACATCAAAGTGTCGCTGTTAGCGTGCAGATGTTGAACGCACAGCTGTAGACCAGTGCAGTCTACAGCCGTGCTAACTGCAGCTTCATTTGTCCTTGTTTGCTTTTTTTTATTTTGTTTTATTACGAACAAACATTATGAGTTTACTAAGTACAGCAAACTCAGAGGAGCCATAACACTTCATGACAGTTTTACTTCCTGTATCTGTTCCCTTAAGAGCAGTTATTGCTGTTGATGCTGTCGTCCCTGCGTACTGCGGCTGACCTGGATGCGACATTTGGCCTCCACCAGCTGTAGTTTGGTCTGTGCCAGCTCCAGCTCCAGCTGTCTCAGCTGCTCCTTCAGCCCGTCCTTCTCCTCGTCCAGCGGCTCGTTAGAGGTTTTGTCACTACCGGGGGACGAAGCCTGGAGGGAGCCCAGGGTGCTGAACAGGTCTCTGCAGTGCTCACAGCCCATGACTTTATTCTGCACAAGCATACAAGCACAAACCAATAACCTTATGTTAGCAGAAGTCGGTGGGTGACGTTGACAGTATGATCATGTTATTACTGGTGAAAACGAACATGCTGTTACATTCATATGCTGCAGCAGACACCTCTGTATACCAGCTGTCTTGCATATCCAGACCTATAGGCCTGCATCTCATCATCATTCTGCTCTGAGGGAAAATGCTCTGGCTTGTTTGTATTTCTTACAGTCATCTCAGGCAGGTCTATGCCCAGTGCCCCTGAAACCCAGAATGGTTTTGGTGGAAAATCTGCATGTGGGGCGACAAGCTCGGTCATTAAATTGGCTAATTTACCAAAAAAAAGCAAAAACCAAGCAGGCCTTCCTCATTGCATGTCCAAACCTTCAGCAAAACTTAACATTCTAAATGTAAGTTGCTGCTCTGTATTTGCTGTTATTTCTGATCGCTAAGAGGACTGTACAGACTGTTAAGGGAAGGAGGAAGCTGCATGAAACGTGTGCAGAAAACGACAAGCTCATATGTAAAGTCTACTGTCTGTGAGTCTGTCTACGACAACACAGGACGCATGTCTTTTATCAAGTAGGTGAAATAATAACCTTGTTTTTTATACTGTCTTCTAACAGACAAGACATTGCACACTTTTAGTACTAAAGAAAAAAAAAAAACACCATTTACTCAGAGTGTCATCTTCATGAGGAACTATGCCCTGATGATCATGATCCAAACAGTAAATACGTATCCTGTGTGTGATCCATCCTTTTGTTTGATCTTGACTTTGGAATGCTAGCTAGGACATCACAAACACGCACCTCGAAAACAGGTCGTCACTGGTTAGTCTGTTCTCACTTTCGAGGGGAAGTTAATTTTCATGCAGTTTATGCATTTTGTAAATAAGAAATGATCCAACCTGCCATCTTCAGCCAATGTTTTCTGTACAGAAGACCAAGTCACCCTCAGCCACAGCTGCCATGTCGTTGGCCAGTCATAGCACATTCTAGTCTTTATGTCACATGTTTTCATTTCCTCTCATCCTCTCTGTCTGTTCTAGTTTACTACATTATTATAATGATATCACATCCCAAGTGAAAGGTTTATGTTAACACTTAAACAGACAGTATTTGTCTCCCGAGCAGGTCCCTTCCTCTGTTATGTCTCACTAGTGTTGCTGCAACTCGACATATTAAGAAGGAGATCAGAAAGTCATCTATCGAAGCCTGAGGTGATACTCTGCCACACCCACGAGCAGCAGCAACACATGTTGGACGAAGGCTAAACAACTTGTGCGGAGTTATGTGTGTAATCAGGTTCTTTATGGGTGTTATGTCCATGAAAGACAGACGAGTGAGCACAAATCCTTTGTTCTCTGATGCAACACATTGTGTTTTTCCAGGAATTTGAAAGTCTCCCAACTTGCATGTGCTGCTCGCTGCGCATTAACACCAAATAATCTCACCCTGACGATGTCTAGCTCTTCTTTCGTCGCCGCCTGCTGTTTTTCCAGCCTGGTGCTCAGCTGGGAGCAGATCTGAAAGACAGAGAGGAAGTCGACTTACATGTGAGACGACGCGTTCCATCTACAAAGTGAGACACGCTGAGGATTTTTCAAACCTGTGCTTCTGCATCAGAACTCCTCACATTCACAGCTCCATATATTCAAGAACAATAAATAGTTTCTGAGGCTTTACTTGGCATCTAGCTCAGTCCTGATATGTTACATCAACGCTGCTGCTAGGAACAGCAGTCTGTAGCGATCACATCATTCAGAAACACAGAAAACTAAATAAACCGTACAGTCACATGTCACAGGGCCGACACGTTTGCAGTGGACATTTGTGTAAATCAAAGACTGTAAATGAGCAAACAGCGGTGGAGGATGTTGGCAGCAGACCTGTTTGTACTCTGCTATGATCGCTGTGGTTTTCTTGATCTCCAGCTCTGCTTTTTCCAGTTCCCTCCTGAACACTTCCTTCAACTGGAGAAGACAGAACATAATGACAAAAACAACAACAAAAATACATCATTAGGGAAGATAAGCAGACAATATGTTGCATGTTTTATATAACTGATCAATACACTGCATCCAGGGTCACACACAGTGACTTTACCTTTTCCTGTGTATTCAATAGCAACCACCACTCACTGACCCGTTACTGTCATGAAACACCTCGAATAGCGACAGCACATGTAGAGTTAAGGCCTTTTTACTGAGGTCTAGTTTGATTTATTTCACTTGAAAGGCAGGTTATGTAGTGAAGTGTGTAAGTCTTTAAAGATGCAGTCGATACAGTAATAAATAATACTACTCCTGCTCCACGTGTTAAAAAATGGTGGCCATGATTCATTGATCTTGGGTTTAATTAATCTGTTAATTGATAGTAGCTACACAGTTTGCTGTATTATGTAGAATACTGATTGATGGCTTGTGTTCTGGGAGATCTGTATCAGATCTATATGACTTCTAGCTAACGTAAGCCACTAGTTTCATTCTCTTTGGTTAATGACAGAAGCTGATTAAAGTAATTGACCATTTGTGCCTTTCAGTGGAATTAAATGAACAAAAGTAAGCATATTAAAACAAAGCAAAGCCTCTAAGCCACATTCACAGGAGTCACATACGTACTGTGTCGCCTCAGGGAAATAAAGTCTTTTTTTTTATTAGCTCATTAAGGCTGATTTAACGATCTGATGTTACCTGAGCCGTCTCCTCCTCCTGCCGCCTCTTTTCCTCCTCAGTCTCCACCAGACGTTGCTTGGTGGTCAGCAGCTCTTTGTTCAAAACATCAGCCTTGTCTTCTGCCTGAGTACACACACACACACACACAAACACACACACACAACAAACACACACACACACACACAGACGCTTCATCTAATCCCACATCTATAACTTCACAAACATGAAGAAGCCATACATCCTCTCCATAAACTGTCTGAGCTGCTGCCATCAGGTAAACGTTTCTGAACCTCCAGAATGATCAACAGCTTCATTCCACAAACTGTCAGAATGCTGAACTGCTGATCCGGACATGCAAACATTTCTTTGTTTAGTTGCTTTTAGTTACTGGATCCTGCATACTCATCGTGTTTGTACTGCTGTTGTATGTACAACAAGGTGACAATAAACTTGATTAGATTTTGATCAGTCACACTCTGCATTCATTAACACGCTGCTGAGTCGCTCATTTTACTGAACCACAGTCCTGCACCTGAACTGAACTCTGTCAGCGTATTAATGACTTCACAAACCCGTATTCAACTGCAGACCAAGACGCCGTACATCAGTCACACTCTACATTCACTAACAGGCTGACAGAGTTCAGTCCAGGTGCAGTCCACCAGGACTGTGGTTCAGTAAAATGAGCGACTCAACAGTCCAGCAGCTGCTGAGAACGGTGTTTAATATCAGCAAAAGGTACAAAATGTTTTTCTGCTTGCAGCTACATTTGTCTGTTTATGCTACCACTAGAGTCAGGGTTTTAATTATCTCAACTTCTAAAATTACTCCACCAAAAAGCTGCAAATTTGCAAATTTCAAAGAGCGCATGCATTTGGAGCACATTTAGCCTCACATCATGCTCCGTGTGCAAAACAACCAACGTCAGCAGCCGATGCTACGTGTAAAATACAAACGTGCAAGTTGTTTTCAGTCTGAAACAGAGCAGTCGGATTGTTGAGGGGTTCAAAGCGTCCTCTCCAGACGCTGCGTTACCTGATCGAGGTCGTTCCGAAGGGCGATCTTACTGGTGACCAGTTCGTGTGCCAAGTCGTCGTTCTCCTGCTCCAGACGCATGCTGGCCTCCTGAAGACGGCGGTTCTCCCTCTGCACACACAAACCAACGCACACAGTTGCAGAATCTTGCAAATGTGGGAAGTGCATCCACATTTTTTATATTATCATCATCATATCATCATCTCCAAAATGTTCTCCAACAGCAGAGGAAACTGATACTGTGATAATAAATCAATTTTTCAATCAGGAAAAGGCAGCAGTCCCCCCCCCGGCGTTTTTTGATTTAATTTACCCATCCAGCTGTAAGATCCTAAAACAGGCCTCCACATCATCTTGAAGTCCCCGTTGCGAACCATTAGTGGAGTCTCATGACTACCAGTCTGGCTATAAACACTCTCACATGACAGGCCTGCCTCAATGGGACCAAACAGTTGTCACGGCTGTGCGGGGCTCATCTGACCCTGATATCCTGTCACTTTTACAATGGCCACTTTTTCCTTCCCCTCCACTGAACACATGCACTTGAATGGTATGGACACAATGCATAGCTGATCAGAATTCATACAGAAAACGTCACATAAATATTTACAAACACATCAGCTGTGCAGAAATTTAAAAAAAATAAAAAAATCCTAAATATCTACAACAACAGCAGAACCTACAAGGTGTTCTCAGTGAAGGACGTCCAAAGAAATGAAGGGGAAAAACATGCAATGCTTTTGAGTGCAGCTTTGCCATGACAAAGTCCTCCCTTTGCTGCTATTCTGGAGTTTGTATGCAACTCCTGAGATTGAATTAGTCACTTCCTGACAGCAGAGAAATTAAGTTCCATTCTCTGTTAGCGTGGATGGATTCTCTCCGTCTCAGCCGCCCACATGTCAAGTTCTAGACCGATAGAACATTTCAGAATTCACGTGAAAATCTTGAGCTATTTTAGTCAACACGGTTGACTTACACCAATCTGAAAGCACACAAGAACTCAGAGTTTAACATCCAGGAATGTTTGTTTTAAGACAAATAAAAATGACAAATCCAAGAATTTGCAGAAAATCTTTTTTTTGGGAGCAGAGGCAGCTTACCGAGCTTCTGTCCACAGTCACAACAACGTATCGAGGCTCCGGCAGCACAGACTAAACGTTAACACATGACACTGACAGGAGTTTCCCTTCTCTCACATTACCCAGCCTCGCTCTCTCTGTCCCCCTCTCGCTCTCATTTCACTCCTTTCATTGATAGCTGTGCTTTGTGCTACGATAAATATCCAAACCACGCATGAAGAAGTGCGTCCAGCCAGAGAAGCTGCATTTCACACATGAAGCAAATGAGACAAACACAAAGAGTACATACCTAAACCTGGGGGATCCAACCATATATATAAAAATAAAGGTTTGAATTACAGGAACCAAAAACAACTAGAAAGAAATAATTCCTTAAATGCTGCAGCAATTTACAAGCATTCCTGTTTTTGCTCTTCTTGCTCCGTGACAAAGTCTCTCCACTGCTGGGCTGGCTCCAGTCCAACATCTTATCTACAATAAAAGTCTTCCTTCCTTCTCTCCCAAAGCAGCAGCTCGTACGACAACATGTCACTTCTGGCTTTAGGGGGAAAAACAGCGACGCTGAATTCTGTAGATTTCTTCTTGAGATGGAAGTTTTTGACGGCTGTTGGTTTTTTTGGAGATTAAATCAACTTTACTTTAAAGTTTAATAGAGCTACATCTCTGCAAAAGCTTTGGGCACTTCAGATGTTTAGACTCGTAGCCGTCACATGATCACCACCAGGCAGGCATCTGGTTGGCTCCCAACTCATTCTGATGCTTCAGGATCATCATGGAGTCAGATTGGGATCAAAGGGAGCATCTCAAAACCCCAGGAGAACCGCGGGAAGTTCTCCAAGATGCTGGAACAAGTGTGCCAAGGAGAACTGGTGTAAAGACTGATTTCAACTAAGTTTTTTCTGTCTGTTTATTTCTGTGCCTCTCTCGTTATGTTTACTGCCTAAAACCTGTTCACAGTACTACGTTATTCCAGTCATTATGTTATTACTGCTGTTTGCTATGTGCAGAGCACTTTTGCAACACTGGGTTTGAAAGGTGTTGTCTTATTATGTTTAATATCTAATTATTATTATTTTCAGTAGCTTGTTTTGTAACATCTTATCAAGCAAAGTAAGATCATGATCGCTGTTGTGACATTGACTGTATCTGAACTTTAAGACTCTTTTAAGACTTTTTTTGTGGCTATATTTTTGAGAACAAACTAAGAATCACTGGGATTTGGCTTTGATGTGGGTGGAGACAATTCATGCCACAATTATGAAGGTGAGGCTGACAGTGAGGAGGTGTTTCAAACAAAGAAATGCCAGACTACCTGCAACTACTACGAATATTAACTGCTTTGGATGTTCGTTTTACTCTCCTGTCGTCACCACCGGTTTGCAATTGGCAAGCAAAGCAGCGCAACATTACAAGTTTCTGCATCAGCAGTGCAGTTGGTCGGGACTAAGAGCGTCCCTTCCTGCTAACATAGCTGCCAGACAGACGTATGAACACCTGCCAAAGTACTCATCAGTGCCTCTGTGGTAGTTCCTGCAGCAGTAGCTGAAAACAATACAATCTATGCTACTGTTGCTGGTAAATGTCCTAGAACAGGGGTGTCAAACTCTGGCCCGTGGGCCAAATTTGGCCCGCTTTGTAATTATATTTGGCCCGCGAGACAATACCAAATGACTACTAGAGCTGCCCCAGGTATTATACTGTACAGCGCACTCACCGCTAATACTACAAATCCCATAATGCCCTGTTGTTGTTTTGGCACGTCAATCAGGACAGGACCCAGAAACTCCCTCTCCTCTGTGACAGTAGGCATAGCGACTTCACACTACAACTGTCACTGTGCCATTGATGTGTTTTTTTATTTATAATTTGATTTTGCATGTCTCCACTATTAAGTTATATATAATGTATGGTAATAAGCGTTGCTTGTTCCATATTCAATGTTAAAGCAAAATTTGTTTCGGTCCATACTAAAAGGTTCATTTGTTCAATGTTGGCCCGCGACGTTGTTCAGGTTTTAAATTTTGGCCCACTGTGTTTTTGAGATTGACACCCCTGTCCTAGAAGCTGTCAAAAGTAAAACTTGTTTACTAATTAATTTCAAAACCTCCTGTTAAATAAAAGGATCTTGTGTGTCCACTATTCCTGTAAAGGAAAGAAATAAACAGCTGCAGACAAAAAGCCGATTGTGGAAGAACAGGAGCGACAGATTGAAAACAAGAGGAAGAGAAAGAATCTGTAGAACTGTGGTGATGCTGGTAGTTTGTCTGAATCTTTAAATATCTGCCTCACCTCCCCTGTTTCTACAAGACACCATGAAGTCACCGCAGCTAAAGCTCTCAACAGCTCTCTGTCAGCTTCATCTAAAAATACACTTTTATGGATGTTTGGGTCGACGGCGATAAAAGTCAGCGCCGCGTGAGAAGTCGCGTTTCAAGCCGGAACAGACTCACAAAACATGAAGGTGCACTTTGATAAAACACACACAGGTGATTTCTAATCTTAGAAACGTGGTTAATTTTAACAAGAAAAGCTTGAATTTCTTGCTTGCTGTGGTTTTTACTCTCATAGCAACAAAAGCTTTTTTTTAATCGCCGAGCCAAAAGGCTGAGCACACTGGGAAGTCATTAAGTTATCCAATTTAAAACCTACAGGAGGCCAAATTGTTCTCACATGAATACAATGACTGTGTAACAGAAAGGGGGACGGCTGTATTTAAATTTCCAAACTGACAGGATAAATAAGAGAGCGTACCAGAATATAATATAATAACAGAACACATGCTTAAACACATGGTTAGCGCCTCGTAGCATAGCTAGGTGCTACAAAGTGCTTTACAGTGTGTTTCTAATTCACACAACAAAGCAGGTGGAGGCACCTGAGCCTCGGTCCACGGTCCACGGTCCCCCCCCCTCAAAGCTCTCACGATTTTCCTACAAACAGTAAAACAAGTAGGCTACCCCTGTTAATGTGTCGTACCTGGTATCGGTCGATGGGGTCTTCCTGTTGCAGCTGGCTCTCTCGCAGCGTCTGATATTCCTTCTCAAACTTCTTCAGCTTCTTGGTTGGAACCTGAAAACAACAGGAAAGTTGTTGACATCATTATGTTTCTGTAAACTTCGTGTGCCGCGCCTGATAAAATCTGAGCCCATCCCAGTTGTTTGTGAGTTTAGGGGATAAGTGTGTGTGTGTTCATTTAATTTGGAGGGGGTGGCATAAGGAATGTGACTGTGATGTCTACTCCCTGACCAGCAACCATGAGAGCGGCTGCCTCTCTCTGCATTGACATCACATTTTCATTCCAATTAAGACTTTATCAGAGGGGTCAGAGGTCAGAGGCGGTTTAGAAACACTTCTGAGAAACAGCATCCAGCATTCACACGCTGCAAGAAGAAGCTTCGGTTTTGAGATCACCGCTATTCGCATAAACTGAGAGGCTTACGGAGAGCAGACATGTACAGAAAGCTGCAACATGTCCCTGGAAATGGCTCCTGTCCTCCTGAGATGAAAGCCAACAGAAGCTGAGACGCTGTACAGACACAGTCGGCTGATGCGATCATTGGCTGATGAAAGCCAAAGACAGGAGACCCTTTGCTGCTTTATTCTAAAAACAATACGTAGCCCTGCCTGAGAAGTACAAAACATTACTGATTTTACAAACTATTCTCCAAAGCCAGCCGTGATAACTTGTTAAATCAAACATACACATTCTAACTCTTAGACATGTTAACCCTGTACGTCTCTACGCGCAGCCTGAGATCCTCCTGACTGTCCCAGAGTCGAGGCTTAAATCCCAGGGTGAGCGGCCCTTCTCGGTCAGCGCCCCTCGGCTTTGGAACGACCTGCCTGAGGACCTAAGGCTCGCTGAATCAGGAACCTCTTTTAAATCACTTCTTAAAACCCACTTTTATAGACTCGTCTTTATCGCTCTCTGCCCTTTTATCCATTTTATTTTATTTTTTTACTGCTTGTATTCCCTCTTTCTAATCTCCTCTTGTGTGATGTCGTCCTTTCAACCACTTTTTAACTACCTGTCCTTTCTGTACATCTTTACATGGGTTTCATGCACTTTTTATTGTTTCTACCTGTGTTCGCCCTGTCCTGTCTGATATTTTACCTGTACTCTACCTGCCAAAGCACTTTGTGAACTGTAGTTCTTAAAAGTACTATACAAATAAAGTTATAATTATTATAAGGATGAAAAGGTCAACCACAATAGAGTTTTGAAGCAGAGACTGGAGGTGGTATCGAGTTAATTGAAGCACATTTACAATATTTTTTATTCTCAGAACAGATCATGTAAACACTAAATAAAAAAATCTGTGACTTCCTTATGCAATTTTTCTGCAAAACACAGGAAACTGAGTTAGTGCGTAAAAATCAAGCACTTTTCTCTGTGGTGTGATTGTTTCTGAAATTCACATTCAAACAAGCAAAGTCATGTGACTGCAACTCCCTCAGTTAGAGAGTGATAACTTCCAAAATATTAGCCCGAACCAAACAGTAGTGAAGCAGCTTTCATGACTCACTGACGTGTGTGTGTGTGTGAGTGTGTGTGTGTGTCTGCTTCAGGTGGGTGGTAACGTTATCTGCCCCTGTGTGGAAACAGCGTTGCCATAGCGCCCACCATCAGAGCTGGGGATTCCAGGTCAGTCTCAGTCACATGACCTCTCCTCTGAGACTGGCATGTGCCTTGTTTGTGCGAGTGTGTGTTCGTGTGTGTGTGTGCAGCTTGTAAAATCCAATCACCTGCTTCACACTTGGGTGAAGATGTCTGCAGTTTATTTTTGTATTTCTGTATTAAATGTAAAGGGATCAAACCGAATTAAAAAATCTCAACTCTGCTCGCATTTACAAAAAAAAACTAATCCGGCTTTTACTTCTTTTGTTGATTAACAACAAAACAGAAACGTAAAAGCATCGATGGCATAAAGTGCTGCGTGTTTAGTCCAGTAAAACATTACTGCTGTTTGATCCGACGGGCGACGACAGAAATGATTAGTTTCAGGTTCATTTTAACATCCTGTCTTTTTTCAACAACAACAAAAATCAATAAACATCCTTCCTGCCTGTTTGACTTCAAATAAAACTCACACGGTGGCGTGCTGCCGTCTGGTGTCTACAGATGTGACACAAAAGCGATAAAAGCTGATTCACTTTCACTTCACAGCTGTTATAATAATCAGTCAGAATCTACCTTCTTTTGATGGCATTCTTCTCTTCCTCTCTTCTGTGTTAAAGAAATTACATTCAAATCATTGTTTTCCTTGTTCTTTTAAGGACCTTCAAATTTGCAGCATTTTACAACAAACAAGGATGCAACTGTCCATAAATGAAGCACATTACATAATCATCCCAGTAAACGAGCTAGAAAAGCAAAGTAAAAAAAACCAAAAACAACAGATGAGGGAAACACGACCGACCAGTTATTCAGGAAACCCAGCCACTACCTGAGCTCCCCACTGACCTGTCGGGTAACCCTGGACTCGCACGACCGAGGAACCGCCGAGGTGAACGAACGTCACACCGTAAAACGTCTGACACACAATTCCCCAGCAGATAACAGCAAAACTCAGACCCATTCTGTTGTTATCTGTGTGGGAAGAAAGAGCAGCTTGGTCTCTGCAGGCTGGTTAATAATCACTTTATTGTAACAAAACAATGTGAACGAATTGAACGCGATGTTCCGCCCCACAGGCTGCAGCGCTACCAGGGTCGTAACTTCAACTGCAAACTCGTGACGCTTTGGACGCCGCTAATCTAAATATAAATCTCAGTTTCACTTATTAAGGAAGCTACTTTTTGTGTGTGTTTTACAGCATTTCATGAAAGTTAATCATCAGGAGGTAAAAGGATTTTCAACATGCAGAAACCCTGCTTCAGTGTGTATGTGATGACTGGATTTTATGCTCAGAGTTGTTTGATCACAAACATGGCAGCAATAGATTTTTATTTATTTATTTTACAACTGGACCTTCAGTCCAACTTCAAATTATGTAGCTGGTATTTGTAAAATTCGACCAAAGTGGCCCTTGAACAGGAAAGTGGATGTGGTTTCTTGCGGTTAGCTTCACTTCACTTCTCTTTGTGATGCACAAAACAATATTTATAAGAACCAACATCCTCTCTTAGCCAATGTGTGTTTACTGAAACCTCAGCACACGACAGCGTCCTAAACTAGAACCCAAACTGAATTTGTGAGACTTTTACAACAAAGGAGGGAATGACTCATGCTGTGTAAAGATTTTATCCACCTCCAGATTTGCCATTTTAAACCCACCTTTTCCTAACTGTCTTGTGTTTCCACCTCCTGCTATGCACTCATTTATTGAATGTAAGCATCCCCCAACCAGCTTCACACACCGGTTCTGTCATATTTTCCAGGCTTCCTGTACGTGATGCGATGATTCGACGGCAATTTCTGCAAACAAAACTGCAACTACATTTTGCTTAATGTTTTTTTTTTTTTCTTTTTCTGCCTGATGTTCAATTCTCTGCTAACACACAGGAAGTCAAGTTTCTTAGTTTGGTGAACATTTTCCTCGGCCATAGATTTGAAGCCATTATACACACTGATGAACATTAAAACCAGGTACGCTGGCAGGGAAAGTGAAAAACAGTAATCATCTCATTACAAAGCCACCTGCCAAAGTGCTTTGATGTCGATCTGAGCCAAGCTGTGATGGCTGCACGACTGCATGAGAGCATCAGTGTGCAGGACTGAGTATCTACCAACGGTTCTCCAAGGAGTCATGCACACCCAAGGTGCATAAATGTATGCGCAGGGCAAAGGCTGGTTCCTGTGTTCTGGTCCCATAGGAGAGCAACTGTAGCTACGATACAAAGGTGCCAGAACACCCAGTGGTAGGACTGGTTTGATGCTGACTCCTGCCCACCATATTCATGTGGATGTTACTTTGACACGTAGCTAATTATTGCTGCAGACCACCAACACCCCTGCAGGGCGACAGCACTTCCTGATGGCCTCTTTTAGCAAGATAATGCTCCCTCCCTAAATCGGGGGTTTCTAGAAAAACAAGTTTGATCCATAAAACTTGCAGGTCTTAAATATCTGATGCTACCTTCTTAGTGCCTGATAACACTCAGAGCGTTTTAGTTTTATGAGGCACTGTTTATTTTCTGTACAGTCAAACTGCTCGTTTATTTCTTCTACATATCCTTTTGTCAAAGCAGCATCTTTGCAAATATCAGTATAATGTTCATCGCTTTGGGTTTAAAATGAGTGCAAACAATCAGCTTAACTGAATGAATGTGGAAGTCTGACTCCAGCTGAGGTCTGACTCCTGATTAATCTGCTGCTCTCCTAGATCACACAAACACTTATATATCACGACTGTGCAATGAAACGCAACATAAAACTGGGCTGGCCTTTATTCAAACACACTGTCCTGCTATAAACACATGAGATCTCCAACACCTCGACCTTTTCCCCGTTTTCCTAATTTATTGTTGGTATGACATTAAACACAAAATGACACAGTTAATTTTGTATTTTCTGAGATGCCCTGGCTTTCTTTGATACTCTACTCAGCCCCCTGACTCTTTAACCCGATACAAAGCTGCAGCCCTTTGCGAGGCTGTCTTGTTATGACGTTTTTACGAGTCTGTAAAACTGTGCAATAAAGAACATTTCTCAGATGATCTGCATTACACGTTATCAACAGAGCTGGGAGAAAGTGCTCTGAGGGTCAGACTCCCTGAGATATTCTGACATTCCCCGTCCGATTCCTCTAAGGAAACATGTCATACCGCATTTTAATGATATTGACCAAATTCCAGGGACAAACTAAGCCTGCTTAACCAGCACGTACAGGTTTCAGCGTCTTGCTTGAGGACACTTCAGCAACACACACACGGTTACAACACACACACACACACACACACACACACACACACACACACACACACACACACACACACGTGTAGTTTCAGGGCTCACGGCTGCATCACTGAACTTCAGGTTCACTGACCAGAACTTTCAGTGTGAATATATGAGGAGGCCAGTTCAAGGACAGAGGGTCCACTCTGATTCCTGGTGCGGTAGGAAATGGTACCAGGCCCACTTTTAGATCCTTGACCT